GGTATGGGATGCTGGTGCTGCCTATGAAGGCTTACCCAGCCACACCACAGCACCAGCCTCTATTTTCACATTTTATAACTTGCTTTATTTATTTGGTTTACTGTTGCATATGCCATGAAAGACAAAGCTGTCTGCAAGGCAGACTTAGCTGCCTTGGTCTCTCTCCTCCCCCAGATTCTAAACCAGCAGTTCTTCCATTATCTTATTATCAAGCAGTTAAAAACTTTTTCTTTTGTTTTACTAATTGTTCTCAGTGGGAGAGTTAGTCTGAATTACCTTGTTCTCTATTAGAGCAGGAAATCCCAAATAATCTAGATTTAACGAAACATCTGTCTAAATGGATAAATAAAAAGATGTTTTAAACAGAGAGACTAAGTCCGGAGATTTCCTTGATAATACCAACTCGGTTGAACAACAAGAAAAGACAGAGCTGACACTTCTCTCGCTTCTCAGGTGTCTTCAGTCCCATATCTAGAGAAAGCCACGGACAGAGGGATCTGGCTCTGACAACACCCAGGTAGAGGTGATCCTTCAGCAGCAGGTGTGGAAGTAACTTTTTAATGCTGCTATGGTGTGTGTGAATGTGTCTCCCCAAAAGCAAACTTAATCCCCAGTGCAGCGGTGTTGGGAAGTGGGGCCCAGTGGCGGCGTTTAGGTCCTGAGGGCTCCACTGGTGTGAGTGGATTAGCGCTGTCAGAGGGCTTGAGGCGGTGCCTCCGGCTCTGGCTCTCTCTCGCCCTGCGATGCCTCCCACCCTGCTAACGATGCAGCAACAAGGCCCCTGTTGCATGCAGGACCCATGACAGACTTCCTGGCCCTCAGGACTGTAAGAAAAACATCTCTGTACTTTATAAGTTTCCCAGCATAGCAGCACAAACAGACTAAGACAAATGCATTTGGAAAATAGGTATTTAGAAAATTGCAATAGTTATGCAACCCTATTGCCAAAAATGTGGTAAGTACATCTCTTTAAAAACTCTTTTTTCTGCATAGTTATGTTGGAAGCAGAATTTTTAACCTTTCAAAAACTATTAGAAAGTACTTCCAAGGAGCTTTGCATCCATTTCTTAGTCACTTCTATGAACAACTAAATGACACTAAGGAAAGATGGAAATTTGCCAGTCCTTTTTTTCTCACTGGAAACTACCAAATCAGTAGATTCAGTTGAAAAACAAGTATCTTGCTTTAATAAGATAAGCCAATAAGACTCTTCTCTCATTATAATCAAAAGGTATTTTTGAAAGATATCTTTTCCATGTCTGATAGCTATTAAAACTAAGCATTGAAATCATCGAATTTAGAATCAGACTTTTGGGGTGGGGTTGTGCGGCCGGTTAAGCTGCTGCCTGCGATGCAAGCATACCATATTGGAGCACTGGTTCAAGTTCCAGCTGCTCCACTTCTGATCCAGGTCCCTGCTTATGTGCCTGGGAAAGTAGCTTGGGCCCTGCTACCTACACGGGAGACCTGGATGGAGTTCTAAGCTCCTGGCTTTGGCCACTGCATCCATTAGGGGAGTGAACCAGCAGATGGAAGACCTCTATCTCTCTCTGTGTCTCCCTGTCTCTCTCTGTCACTCTCCATGTCAAATAAATAAATCTTTTTTTTAAATCAGACTTTTTATTCACAACGGATTAAAAAATGAAGCACATTCACATAGCTCTATGAAAATATTATTAAGAAGAATTTCAAAGGTGAGAGCAAAATCATTAAGAGCTTTATACAAAAAATTTTTAAAAAGATTTATTTATTTATTTGAGAGGCAGAGTTACAGACAGAGAGAAGCAGAGAAAGAGAGAGAGAGAGATCTTCCGTTCGCTGGTTCCCTCCCCAAATGGCCACAATGGCCAGAGTTGAGTAGATCTGAAGCCAGGAGCTAGGAACTTCTTCCAGGTCTTCCATGTGGGTGCAAGGGCCCAAGCACTTGGGCCATCTTCCACTGCTTTCCCAAGTGCATTAACAGAGAGCTGGATTGGAAGAGGAGCAGCCAGGACACGAACTGGCACCCAAATGGGATGCCAGCACCACAGGTGGAAGCTTAACCCACTATGCTATGGCGCTGGCCCCTTTATACAAATTTCAAAAATTTTATTTTTCAATTCTAGTTCATCTTTCTACTTTTCAAATTTATAAATTTATCTTTTACCATTTATATTTTAAAATATGTGTTATATAGCTCATCTTCCTCTATAGGAAGCACATAGTGCTTATATTGTGCATCTATGTATATGTACAAACATACTTCTTTTTTTAAATTATTTTTTATTTTTTGACAGGCAGAGTGGACAGTGAGAGAGAGAGACAGAGAGAAAGGTCTTCCTTTTACCGTTGGTTCACCCTCCAATGGCTGCCGCGGCTGGTGCGCTGCGGCTGGCGCACCGCGCTGATCCGATGGCAAGAGCCAGGTACTTCTCCTGGTCTCCCATGGGGTGCAGAGCCCAAGTACTTGGGCCATCCTTCACTGCACCCCCGGGCCACAGCAGAGAGCTGGCCTGGAAGAGGGGCAACCGGGACAGAATCTGGCGCCCTGACCGGGATTAGATCCCAGTGTGCCGGCGCCGCAAGGCAGAGGATTAGCCTAGTGAGCCGCGGCGCCGGCCTCAAACATACTTCTACACACACACATATATATAATATAAAGCTAAATAAATATATATGTCTTGGGGCGACTGCTTAAAATATGTGCAGAAAGTTTGGAGCCTCTTATTGAAGGTTGTCTCTAGAAGGTGACTTTCTGGTCTTCAGCACTGTGGACAAGTAGGTCTCTACCACCCACCTCCATTTTCTTTCAAAGCACTCTGATTATTGAGTTAATAGTCTTAACCATAAATTATATATTTATTTGTTTGCTGACTTATGCAATAGATTATAAGCTCCAGGAGGACAAAGAGTACGTTTATTTACTTACCAACAATACTCAGGGCCCAGGACAGCATCTGGAACTTGCTAATTACTCGCTATTTATTGCAGGAATAGATAGAGTTGTATGTTTCAAAGTGAGGCTGACTTGGTGTGTCTCAGCAATTCAACCTCCTGATGCCCAGGAGTTTCCCCCGGGGTTGTATTAGGGTTGGTGTAAGTGATCAGAAGAATGTAGTCAAAGTGGTCGTCTGTTACTTCAAGGATCAGGTTAGGTAAGACACTGGGTGCTTCCAAGTTGGTCTCTCTGTCTCTTTCCCATCACTTGCCCCGAGGGAAGCCAGCTACCATGGCACCGGCTGCTTCTTACGGATGGAGCTGAAGACTGCCAACAGCCATGTGCATGAGCGTGGAGGGGGTCGTCCAGCCCGTCCTGTGACTGCAGCTGGACACTGTCGATGAGCGACCCTGAGACAGAGCACAGAGCGAAGCCACTCCTGGATCCCCGACTCTTAGCAACTGTGTCAGGTCATCAATGCTTGCTGTCTTAAGCTGCTTAGCTTGGAGCCATTTGTTACTCAGCAATTGCTAACCAACACACTGCATGTACTTGGACATATGACTTCATCTCTTGGAGCCTGTTTCTTTTTTTTTCCCCCAAACTGTAATAATATCCTCTTACAGTGCTGTTGAAGCATACTCCCTACTTTATTACGTTTCTTAAGTAAAGGGAAAGCTTAAGAAGAAAGCTACAGAGCAGCTGTAACAAGCAGGCACACGGAATGGGCGCTTGTTAAACTGCTAAGCCCCTGCTTAGACAACCACATCTCACGTCGGAGTGCCAGTGCCTGGGTGTGAGTCTGGCTCTGCTCTCCGCGCCAGTTTCCTGCTAACGTGCATCCTTGGAGGCAGCAGGTGATGCATCAAGTTCTTGGGTCCTGGCCACCCACCTAGGAGATTCGGATTGAGTTCCTAGCTCCTGGCTTCAGTCTGGCCCTGCTCTGGCTGTTGTGGGCATTTAGGGAGTGAACCAGCAGATGGAAGATCTGTCTGTCTCTCTGGAGTATGATATCCTCAGATAAATAAATATTCAAGTAAATAAATAATTAGTTTGAAAAAGCAAGCAGGGAAAAAAAAATTAGAGAATAGCCATGTTGGGCCCATTAAGTGTAGGGACCACTACCTCTATCTGCTTTTGTCCTAGACCCTAAGAGTATCATGGTGTCACAGCCCACAGAATGAGGGTCACAGGTGTGAGACATATATCCTTGTCTTCCTTAAGAGCACGTTTGCATTTAAGGAGGTTGCAGCAATCCAGAAAATCCTTTCCTCTGGAACAGGGGCTCTCAAACTTTACCAAGCATCAGAGTTAAACACCAATTGCTGGAATTCAAAAAATTTCAAGCCCCAGAGTGGTGGGGCCCAGGCCTTCCAACTTTGTTTTTTAAAGATTTATTTTATTTATTTGAAAGACAGAGTTATGGAGAGAGGTAGAGACAGACAGAGTTATGGAGAGAGGTAGAGACAGAGAGAGGTAGAGAGGTAGAGAGGTAGAGAGGTAGAGAGGGAGAGGGAGAGGGAGAGGGAGAGAGAGAGAGAGAGAGAGAGAGAGAGAGGTTTTCTATCTGCTGGTTCACTCCCCAAATGGCCACAATGGCTGGAGCTGAGCTGATCCTGGCCAGGAACCAGGAGCTTCTCCTGGATCTCCCATGTGGGTGCAGGGGCCCAAGCACTTGGGCCATCCTCCGATGCTTTCCCAGGTGCATTAGCAGGTAGCTGGACCGGAAGTGGAGCATAGTGCCCATAGGGGATGCGGGCACTGCAGGCCAGGGCTTTAATCCGCTGCAGCACAGCGAAAGCCTCCTTCACATTTTTAACAGCTTCCCAGAGTGGTGCTGATGGTGACCGGTCAGGGGACCACTGCTGTAGAACACTGTAGTTTCTGATCAGTGAAGCATCATAGTGCAGGATAACAGGGAGTACTAAAGTTTAGGCAAAGTGTGGGGTAAAAACCAATTCCAAGTTCTTTACTGTAATAAACAATGCCCTGCATGATGTAACCCCTCTTTGCCTCATGCTGGGTTTCGTTTCTCTCTCTCTCTCTCTCTCTCTCTCTCTTTTTTTTGGTGGTATCTGTTTGATTCAATGAGAAAGTGATCATAACTGCAAGAGAAACAGGGACACTTGGAGGAGGCTCAAGCCGAGCCCATTTCTTAATCCTCACTGGGAGAGGGTTAACAACCATTGGACAGATTCCGTAAACCAGCAAATCAGCGGTTCCACTGCAAATGAGCAAAAAGAGGCCTGTCACCTGCCCCAAGGCCAGGGCGAGTCTGGGAGGTGGAACCCTGCCAAAGGCAGCTGTGACCCGGGATTCTGGGTTGGCCCTGCTCCCTTCCCAGGCTCTGTCTGGGCAGTGAGGGATGGCGGGAAGTTGGCTCAGGAGAACACTGGAGGTCCCCAAATTGGGGCTGGAGCCTGCTGAGGGGCAGTCCTACTTAGAGCGTTTGGAGGAAAGCTTCCTCATGGATGACCTGCGGCTGCTGCCCCACGGTCAGGGTGATGTTCGCCTGTCACAAACAGGTCATCCAGCTTGCCCCATGACCCCAGCGGTCTGTGCGGGGAACCTAGGCCATCTGCTCAGCCATTCATGAAAGCACCGACGTTGTCTGTGCGTCCGTGGGCCACACTCTTGTCCCGCAGACCACAGTGGTCACCCGGCCCTGTGGTGATGGAGATGGCCGGCTCTTTCACTGAGTGGCTCACTGTCATTTTTCCACACCAGCAGCTGACGGCTTGAGAGCAGTGGGTACAGTGATGCTGCACTTGGTGCGTGGAGAAGACTTGCATCAGCCCTCTCCCCCTTCTCGCCCCCTGGCCTCCCGGGATTCACGGTCCTCCATGCCCCGCCCCCTGACCCGGATCTGCTGCATCGGTTTCCTTCCGGGTCAAGATGGCTCCCGGGCTAGCCTGCGCCCAGCCCGGCTTCCTCCCCGGGGCTGCAGTGGGCCTGAGAAGCTATGCAGCCACATCCCATCGGCCAGGAAGTGCAGACACGAAGATGACCGAGGATCCCAAACTTTTTTTTTTTAACCTTCTCCCAGGGAGGATTATAAAATGGGATCAACTTGCAATTTTGGATTTTACCGTGGCACAAAAGTGATATGTGTTTGAATTTTGATCTTATCCTGAGCTAGTGGAATGCAGTCTAATACTCTCTCGGGATGCTGGGCAGTGACCGCAGCCGCAACAGCTACAGGGACTAACAGCTGACTCTGCAGTGTGCCGGGTTGTTGAACGACGATATTAGGTAGGCCGGATGTAGTAAATGCATTTTAACTTAACGATGTTTTCAACTTGTGATGGGCTTATCGGTAACCCAATAGTAATTTGAGAAGCAGTTCTATTCACTTTGGCTTGCTTTCTGTTCTTCAAAAACACCCAGCCTATTTCTGTCTGTGCACTTGTCTTTCCAGCTGCCTCGGGTGCTTCTCGCCTAGGTGATGGCAGTCCGTGTGTCCTCATGACGGCCCAGCTGCAAAGGACTCCTTCCTGGCTTCCCACCCGAAGAAGCCATTCTCTACTACACTTGCCGCTCACCTTACTTATCGGGACCTGAAACTGTCTCGTTATTTGCTTTTGTTGGAAAATTCCAATGTAGCAGCTGCCTCTTCTCTTGGGTTCTTTGCTGTCTCCTGCACCTGACACAGGGCTTGGTATATGGAGGCACCCACTAAATGTCTGCTGGTTGGACGTGTGGGTGTCTGGTGTGGGTCTCTTGCATTATAACCTAGTTTTGGGGGAAAATAAAGAACATGGAGAAAGGAATATGGTAGCCCGGTGACTGTGGCCCCGCCCCTACCTGCCTTCCCACATAGTATGGCTGCTAGGGTTCTGCCTGGCTTGTGGTGTGTAGCAAAGGGGTTTGCACTCTCCCCTGCTCCCTGTCTTCCGCACCCTTGGTTGCCTCATGGGAAGACAACATGGGGACTTGGGCAATGCTTTTCACTCTCGGGATTCCAGAGAGTTGTTATACCGGTCAGTTGTTCATGCATCTGGAACACCCTTGGCTTGTATGAGTTATTCCCTTGGGACTGGCTGGCATGTGCCAAGTTGTCCTTGGCTATGGCAAGGGAAGGAGAGCGGCTCCTCCACTTCGTCAGGTGTCCGGTGGGCTCTTGTCTGTATGTTTCCCCAGGGATCTCCAGCGGTTGGAGGTTCCTGGTTAGTAATGGAGCTGATACATCTCATCAACAAGGATGTGCAGACACTAAGATGAACAGAGAAGCAAACCTACTTACTCAGATAGCTTCAAGTTATATTTGTTTTCCTCTCAATGGTTTACTCATTAAAAGTTGAGTTCCTGTGCCAATGTTGGCAGTACACGAGGCATGGACATTCTCTCCGCAGACAATTGCTGGTGGTCTGAGTGACTCACCCTACACTCTCACCTCCTCCTGGTTCTGCCCTTGGCGCCTGGTCTTGGGAGGTTTGCATTCTTGTAGTAATCTCGGGCTGCTGCCCGGGGCCAGGGGCAAAAACAACAGGACTCTCTCCAGGGCATTTGGGAGTGAGCCTCATTGTCTGGTCCTTGCTTTGACTGTTGATTGCATGAGGCTTGGGGGAGGGTTTCCCAAATAAGGAGACTGGAGCGGCCTCTTGGTTGGGGATGCTCCTGACCTCCTCAGCAGTGGGCTGGAAATATTTACATAGACACATTTCACATTTTATCTGTCCTTTGGCTGGGCATGTAGAACATTCCAGCTATACTAACTTCTTTCACTTCTGCCCTTTATCCATAGTAAAGCCAGGTCGAGGCACTGATACTTGATTAGTGACTTTGGCATTGCTTGCACACCTTGTTGTGCCAGGAACACACTAAAGATGGATTTGACAAGAAGCAGAGGTCGTGGGCGGGGAGGCTCTGACAGCTCCCAGAGGAGCTGCCTAGGGGGTTTTGTCAGGACAGCTCCTCCTCCTCTACAGCTTTGCCGTGTTTGTGTGGGAGTTCAGTTCAACAACAACTGTGGAAGCACCTACTCCATAGCAGGCACCATTCCTAAGTGGCTACGGGGGATACCAAGGCTAATGGAATTCTGTCTTTGCCTTCAAAGAGCTCGGAATCTTGTTGGGTGAGGAACATGTGGTGGTGGCTTGAAGATGGCCACAAATTCTTCCTACTCTTTTCTTTGAATTGAGGCTGGCTGTGTCACTGGTTTTGGTCCCCAGAACATGGTGGAAGCCATGTTGTGTAATTTCTGAGTTTGGGCCTTAAAAGTGACACAGCTTCTGCTTGTGTCACTCTTAAAATACTTCTTCCAAGGAGCGTTTGTCGCCTTCTAAGGAGTCTGACGTCCAAGAAGGCCACCATGCTGTGAGGAAGCCCAGGCTAGCCACAGGGACTGAGAATGCGAGAGGACACTGAGGCACTGCATGTGTGAGTCCAACCTTCAGGGGCCGCCTTAACCCCGGCTATGAGCTGAACGCAGTTGAGTGAGGAACCTCCTCCGTGCTGCGTGGAGCAGAACTGCCCAGCCAAGTTTGCCTCAGTTCTTGAGTTATGAGCAAATAAAATGGATTTTGCTTTAACTCATCAAGTTTTGGAATAGTTTGTTATGCAGCGATAGGTAATGAAACCTGCACATGTATTCTTAGATCCTGATGGAGGTGTGTATGGGCTGCCATAGGAGCCTGGAAGAGAGGGCCCTGGTCAGCCTGTAGCGATGACACATGGTTATGGAATGCTTCCCAAAGGCTTGCTTGTGCCGAATACCCTCCCTGAAGATCTGATGTGAGCCAGGGGAGTAGAGCAAGAAAGCCTGGAGGTGATTACCAGCGTGGCACACAGGAGAGGGGTCTTCAAGCAGGTGTAAGAGATGACGTAATGGGTAAATTTGCAAAGGTGTTCATAATAATAATAGTGATAATTAATCTGAGCACGGACTGCATGACAGATCAAAAGTCTTATACGCATCAACTTACCTGATTCCCTTATTATCTGTTTTCCTTTAGAGGAAAATGAGGCACGAAGAATTTAAGCAACCGGCTCAAAGGCACTGAGCCAGCCAGGGCAGGGGAGGGATTTGAACCAAGGCAAGGGCTTGAGGCGCTTTGAGTGCCCCCTTCAACAGCTTGGGATTTGTTCTGCAGAAAATGCGGAGTGACTGAAAGGTGTAAGTCAGGGAGTGGTGGGGTCACAGCCAAAGATTGTGTAGTTCTGTAATTTACCCCACTTTGTGCATTTGCAGGTCCATGGCCCATTTCTCAGCAGTGCCCGTGAACTCCTCTTGGTGCTACAGGGAAGGAGGGTGGTATGGGCGACGCGTGCTACTCTGCATCTGGTCGTGGCGGTGGAGGGAAGAACAGGACGCCCGGGGAGAGCATGGGTGTGGCGGCCACCGAGAGGGGAGAGTGGGTCACATCCTTGACCTCACGGAAGAGGGGAGAGTGGGTCACATCCTTGACCTCACGGAAGAATGTGACGGGAAGCAGCAGCATGTGGGAAGCAGCCTGTCGGGAGGTCTGCTGAGCCGAAGCACAGACAGGCTCTGGGCTTCACAGACATTCTGCCTTTTCCTTCTTCATCCTCCCCATGGCCATTCAAGCGATTAGCATCAAATTATTGAAAACAGCTGTCGGGTTCCTAGGCGCCTTCGGCAGCCAAGAGAGAATTCACAGAAACTCAGAACCACTCGTCTGGCCCTAGCTTTGGCTTTCTGAGGGGCTCCTCGTGGGCTGACCGCGGGGGAGTTGCTCCGGCACCTGTCTGCTTCCTCTGTCCCCTGCGCTCTCTGCATAGCTAAGGGCAGCCGGGCAGACTCAGGAGAGCCACAGCCTCACTCTAGCAGCCTTGTGTTAAAGAAGGTAGCAATCGAGTGTATGAGGGCTCTTCATGGAAAACGTGCTTTACGAAAAAACTGCGCATGGATTTCTATTTCTTTTTTTACATCAAAACACACTTACCTTTTAATTCCGTTTACAGTGAGCCCTCATATAACCCATTTTGAAGGATCCCCATATAAAAAGAAAGAGGCCTGGCTTAGGGTCCAGGAGAAGGTGGGCGATGCGGCCTTAGACTTACCTTGCGGGACGCTTGCGCTGGGTGCTGTGTGCAAGTGTCCGGAGTTTATCGATTCCCAAGGTTCTCCTCTGTACTATGAGGGTGTTGGATGAAGGGTAGTTTCATCTCCAGTAACAAAAGCAGGCATCCTGAAGGTTAACTGCACATGGACCGAATGTCTAACCCTGCGCCAGGGCCTATGTTCATGTTATTTATTTAATCCTCACTGTATCCCGATCTCAGGGATGCTCTCTGGAACCTTCCTTATCCTAGTCAAAGCTTTCTGTATGCACGATCTGTTGCTGTGTAGCACATGGTCTCGAATCTTGGCAGTTTAAACCAACAATCCAGGCTTAGGTGTCACGGTTTCTGTGGGTCAGGAATTAGGAGCAGCTTGGCTGGGTGGTTCTGGCTTGGAGTCCTTTTATGAGTTTGCTGGGGCAGCACTCAGCTGAAGCCGTGACAGAGGTTGGGGGATCACCTGAAACATGGCAGGGTGGCATTGCCTATTGGCAAGGTTGGTGCTGCTGGCTGTTGGCAAGAGGCCTCTTGTGTTACTACCTTGCCAGAGGACTGTCCGTGGGACTACTTGAAGGTCCTCACCACGTGGCAGCCGGCTTGCTCCAGAGTGAGTGATGTGGCAACTGCTGTGTTTTTTGCGCCCTGTCCTTGGGAACCACACCCCACCATTTCCACAGTGTCCTGTGGTTACCTTGATCAGCCTGTTCAGTGTGGAAAGGACTCATAAGAGAACATGAATACCAGGAGGTGAGGAGCATGAGTGACTGTCTTTAAAGTCGTCTCTTACCTCTTTCCCCTAAATTTCTACCATGCTAATGTCTTATGTCTAATAGTACTTACCTGAAATTATCAGATTTTTTGTTTGTTTGTTTGAGACCCATTTTCCTCCCTGACCAGAAGGTAAGCTTCCTAAGGGCCAGAATTTTTTTTTTTTTTTTTAAATTGCTTTTCCCCCTGCACCTGCAATAATGCCAAGTGCAGTCCATGGTCAGTATCAAGTGTGATGTAGATACTGTTGTTGTGCCAGTTTCAGGTGGAGAAAAAGAGGCCCAAAAAAGTTAATTTGCCTGACATCATTTTAGAGAGTAACCGATGGAGCTGGGGTTCCAGCTGACGCGTAGCTTATCAATAGCTTACCTGGGTAACGCTCGTTGACGCCAGTGCTGCCGTTATGGTGGAATGATGCCTGGGTATAGAGGGTGGGACAGCAGCCAGCAGAAGGGCTGGGAGAATGCCAGCACCATTGGGAAATAGCAGGAGGAAGTGTGTGAGTGAGGGAGTGTGTGTATGAATGAACATGATGGTTGAGCATGTGCACCTGTGTGATGGAGCGAGCGAGGAAGAGAGAGTGTGAGAATGTATGATGTGTGGGTACAGTTGCTGGATCTTTGAAGGGAAGATAATGTATTCTGGACAACTCTTCTGACACAGACCTGGAGATAATGCTTTGACCTTAGTCTTTTTTCCCCCTCTACATTCTTGGAAAAATTTGTCTCTAAGGAATATCCTTATTAAAATGACTAAGTAGATTTTCCTTTTAAAAAAATCCCATGAGCAATTTAAGTCATTATTTGACTAGCAACCATACTGCCAAATTGCACATGGATTGCTAACTTGATTATGTTTGTGGGAATTAGCCATTTTCTGGATTATTTACCAGCAAAAGAAAAGTACTATGTTTTGGCCACCCACTCTCCATTCTCCTTTGCAGCCTCCTCTGGGAGGGTCCCAGCTATTCATCAAACAACAATGCCTTACCCACCCATTTTCCTGGCCTGAGAGGTAGAAATTTGGGGGAGGAGTGGAGGGACAAGGTTAGGGAAAGTTGCTCACTTATTCTCCCTCCATGAGGCATTCTGGGTGCTGAGGTTGGGAGCAAGGGGTGTGTCTCTGTGTGGGAGGGACCTTTGGTCTTTAAGTGGGACCAGTGGGACACCCATGAGCAGGATTACAGAAGCCAGCTGCTGGGGAGGCTCTGATTTCGCTCTGAAGAGAGGGTGATGATGGTTTCTGAGTTTCTTTTTTTTTTTTTTTTTTTTCTCTCCGACAGGCAGAGTGGATAGTGTGAGAGAGAGAGACAGAAAGGTTTTCCTTTTCGCACTGAACTGAAGCCAGGAGCCAGGTGCTTCTCCTGGTCTCCCATGTGGGTGCAGGGCCCAAGGACTTGGGCCATCCTCCACTGCACTCCCTGGCCACAGCAGAGAGCTGGCCTGGAAGAGGGGCAACCAGGACAGAATCCGGCGCCCCGACTGGGACTAGAACCCAGTGTGCCAGCGCCGCAAGGCGGAGGATTAGCCTATTGAGCCACGGCGCCTGCCGGTTTCTGAATTTCTTCAAAGCTCATCTCAGTGCTCCAGGGAAGGAACGCAGAGGGACACCGTACACAGAAGGCCTACTGAGGAAAGACGCAGGGTTCCCATTTAGCTTGAAAGTCTCCCCAGGGACCTGTGGATGCTCAGCTGGGCCGAACCCACACCTGGCTGCAGGATCCAAATGAGCTTGGCCCTCCGCTAGGAAGCATGTCTTCATCAACAGTGTCTAGACAGGGAGTGCAACGCAGTACGTCAAGGAGACTGGCATTCTCCCTGTGCTTACCGAGCCGGCCAGAGTTCACTGGGGCAAGATTCTGCTAGAGCCTCATCTTCCTTGCCCCACCCCAACCCCCCTTTGAGGGGCTGTAGCATAGTAGTTAGAGCACGGATCTCGGAGTTTGTTTCAGTTTGTGTCCTGGCTCTGGCACCGACTGTGGCTGTAGGTCCTCAAATGTAAAATGCAGGGGACCAGCGCCGTGAATCCCATGTGGGCGCCGGGTTCTAGTCCAGGTTGCTCCTCTTCCAGTCCAGCTCTCTGCTGTGGCCCAGGAGTACAGTGGAGGATGGCCCAAGTGCTTGGGCCCCTGCACCTGCATGGGAGACCAGGAGGAAGCACCTGGCTCCTGGCTTTGGATCAGTGCGGTGCGCCGGCCGCAGTGGCCATTGGAGGGTGAACCAACGGAAAAAGGAAGACCTTTCTCTCTGTCTCTCTCTCTCACTGTCTATAACTCTACCTGTC